TGGTCCGTGCTGTCAAGGGGCACAGGTCCCCATAGCAATTGAGGGTGACAGAAGCCGGCGTGCCGAGGTGTTTCTGACTGGTACCAGTGGGCACTGGGCACGGCCTGCTGCTGTGCGGGTTGGAGAGGGTGAAACGTGGTGCTCCGCAGGGTCACGGGGGACCAGCACCCCATGGGTAGGTACATCACCAGGCTGGGACTGCTGGGCAGGGGACAGTGCTCTGTGACGGGTCAGGGGGGCCCGAAGGTGCTGGGGAAGCACCCCAGTGACTCAGTGGAGCTCAGCAGCAGCCTGTGGAGAGATGCTGGGGTCAGGGTGCTGGAGCAACGCCTGGCAGGGGTGTGCTGGGCAAGGTGGATGCTGTAGGGTCCCCAGTGTGAGGGAGTGTGGTGAACTTTATGTCTGAGGCTGGGAAGATGATCCTATATATTAATCAATATCAAAAAGACCTAAAATATCTGGAAATCTGATTTCTTGCTCATCAAAGAAAAAGTTTCTCACCATCTGCATCACACTCTGTGGTTGAACTCATCAGGGCCCTTTCTCCACATCATCATTGCTGTCAGCCGAAGGCAATGGATGCTGCATACAGAGCAATTAGGTTCTCAGTTAAAGGGGGCTGCAAAGCACTTCAATTCAATTTTGCCACTAGATCCTGCCACCATCCTGACTTACAGGGGATTTCAGACATTAACAAGAAAAGCCGATTACATCCAAGGCAGGCTGACAGAGCAGCCGTTCTCCTCATGGCTCTCATCTGCTGCTTCATCTCATGATGCTGTTCATGAGCTTCCCTGGGGGATTGATCACAGTAAATGGACACAAGCCTGTTAACTGTAATTTTTGTTGATCCTTCAGCTGCCTAATAATGAAGACTTTTTTCCTTGATTTTTCTTTCCCTCTTTTTAAAAGGTGGTTAGAGCTCCACGTGAAGGGCTGAGGCACAGAGCAGTCCGTTACGTATCCACTAGGACCAGATCTGATCTTTACCCAACAGCTCCTCACCTTCCCATGCAGTGATCCTAACACAGATCCTGCAAATGAAACAGAAACTTGGCTCCTCTCAAATCAGCAGTGGACTTCCATGGGCCAAGGTGTTACTGTATGTCTGGGGCAATGCTCTAGGGTGTTTGTGTTGTGCAGACAAGAGATTTCCCACAGGTGAGATAAAGCCTATGCAATAACCCAGCAGAACTCTAATCTCTCTCTCTCTAACTATAGTTATTATACTATAGTAACTTAAATATAGTAAATAAAATAATAAATAACTTATAATAGCATATTATGTTTATATTATAATAGTATAGAATTTTACTATATATACACTTTTATTATATATTTTCTATATATCATTATTATATTTTTACTATCTTATATATAGTAAAACTCTATACTACATACTATATTATAGTAATACTGTACTATTATAGTTTTATATATACACTATGTCATATAAAACTATACTAGGTACTGTATGAGTTATTTCTGGTTATTTCCCATTATAACTGGGAAGTTATACTAAAATAGCTGAAGTTCTGCATGTAGAGATTAGAGTAGACTCAGGTTCTGGTGGGTTCTTCCAGCTGGCAGTAACTACCTGGTTCCAGCTGGAGGTGGCTCCCCGGGAGCAGTGGGTGCACAGGCAGAGGAGGTGTGCTAGCACATCCTTCCCGTGGGCTCAGGTGCTCGGCGTGCTGCTGGACAGGGCAGCCAGACTGCCTGCCATCTGCCGAAAGCGTTCCTCAGGAAATCTGCAGATTGCCTCTAAGGACCCACATGGAAGAGAAGCGGATGGATCTGTGAAGATACTTAACCTCCGGGCTCCCCTCAGAATGCTTTCTGGTGTAAACTTTATCTCACACCCCAGGTGCCTCATTTGATAGTGCCTTCTCAATGTCTAATTACTTGTTTCTATTTCAGGTAGTCAACAAATATTTAGAAGGTTCTATATTCAGTTAGACAAATGCATTCACTTACCAAAAACTTTGTTTTGCTGAGAATCCGAGTCCCAGGATCCTGCACAGCAGGTCTTCCAGCTTAGAAGGAAGAGGGCAGAAGCACATCTGTTCGTCACAGGAAGGGCAGGGCTAAAGCCTGCTTATCTAAAGAGCCTGAAAGTTCGAGATAAGTTTTGCCCCCCAAAAAAATGTCCTTGCTTAAAACTTATGTAATGAATACGGTCCTAGTAACATGCCATGAACACAAAATCTAGTACATGTAATAGCTCATCTAGCAAAACAGGAAAAAATCACACATTTCAGTGTTGTTCCTACTGCTGCAGTAAAAGCTTGAGGCTGATAAAGTTGAAACTCAAAGGAAATAACCTTAAAACACAGGCTCATACATCATCTGGAGAAGACTGGATAATAGTGCTTCTCTGTAAAGGGGTTTGAGAAATTTGGGTTATGTATGCTCAAGTGTGGTGTGGTAAACTATAAGCAGAGGCAGCACGTTGTTGAAGTTCTATGTCCAGAACACCTTCTAATAAAAGGACGTACTGGCGGATATCTGCTTTGTCCCTGGGCTTGTGCATTAACAAGACCAGGTTGCTGTTTAATGTGTCTCTGAAGGACTATGAGAATATTCAAGTCAAGAAGCTCTCCTGGCTCTGAAGAAAAAAACTGGTTAGTTGAACAATGCGGAGATTTTGCTTTGGAAGGCAACCCACAATGGACTGTTCTGAAAGATAACAGAGAGCTCAACATATGCAGAAAAAAATTCCCAGCCTGCTGAAGATATGAAGCTTGAATACTTCAGCTCTTACTGTTTGTGTTCCAGCCCTAGAACACTTTGAAAAACTTTGAGCAGATTTCACTTCACCTAAGAAGGTTCTCTTCTCTAATTGTAACGTCATGCTCAAGGTTGGGTTTTCAAATATCTCGTCTTTAAATCACAGGAGTAATTAAAAACACATGCCCAACATTTGCACTGCAGCTATCATAAGGCTGCAGTTAGTGGTAAAGTCAAAGAATCTAAATTTTGTCAACAGAGGAAGCTAAAAAAATTGTGCCTGTGTTAAGTAAGATTTATTTGGGGGACTTTCAAAGGAACTTTACAATAAGAACTGGGTTGTCATCGCTGAAATGAAACTTTAGGTTCCATAGGAGGAACCTGCTCTTTTGCAGCACTTTGAAACACTATTTATTTTGAGAACAGAGTGTTGAATGAAAATGCCGAGAATAGTTGCTAGGTTAGTTACACAGTCTATTTCCAATCTAAGTTTGCTTTTTAATCATTGATTAGACTAAGGAAACAATTTAATGGAATCACAGAATAGTAGAGGCTAGAAGAGGCCTCTGGAGTTTCGTAGTCCAAATACCTGCCCAAGCAGAGTCAGGTGGAACAGGTTTCCTAGAACTGTTTGACTATCTCCAAGGCTGGAGACTCCACAACCTCTTCACTCTAATGTTTTCTAGGGATTTTTATTTCACCCACATTGAGCCTTCTAAGAATTTCAGCTGTTGTTCCAGTCATAGTGAGTTAAATAGTTGCTAGTCTTTAGTCAACTAGAATGCTGCTCAATAGGAGTGGTTATATTTTGGCTTTCCATGAAAAGAAAAGTCAACTTCAAAGACAGTAGATACAATCTAAAATGAGCATCCTATTCTACAGGAATGCAAAATAGCTTTTGGATCTGTAAGAAACTACTTGATTATTCTGTATCCTTAGTACTATTGTCCCTTTTTGGTAGAATTTTCAAAGCAAGCTAGTATTTTGTGGAGAAATAGCCATGAGTTTGCATGCCTTAGCTTTTAAGCTAGGAATATGACTTGTGGATGTAATCTCTCTCGAATGCTTCTGTGGGAATGCAAGTAGATATTGCTGTAAACAGATCAGGGTTTGGTGAACAATCGTGTCACAAGCCTGAAAAGGTAAAGTTAGCTCAGAAGCATAAACAAACATGAGGACTTCCTACAGCATAAGGAGCATTCCCAAACCCCACTGAGCCTGTTTTTAGACTTGATACAAAGACAACACACTTGGGAGTCAGAAGTCAAAAAGCACTTTTGGTCTGTAATACAGATATCTAAAAAAAAAAAATTAAAAAATCAGGATCCCCATTTTCCAGGATTTCTGTGTGAAATAAATAGCATATGACCCCCCAGTGATGCAGGCAAGAATCTGGGAGCTTATTTACTTTATCACACAGCTGAGACTGTAAGACAACACTAAAAATATACACTACAAGAGTATTTTTAAAAAATAAACAAAGCTTTAACCTAATGTTGCAGAATTTAATTTCAAAGTGATACGCAACCATATGTTGCTTGCTTTCCAAGGCACAATGGTATAAACATATAAACCACAGATCTGTTACATTTAATAAAAAAATATACATACTGTTAATCTAAAAGACAAAACAGCACATTTCCTCCTACTTATAACAAACCTTAATTTAAAAAAGGTCATCTTTGTTCAGTCGTTAAATGTAATACACTGACAATAAAAACTCTTCCTTCAGTAACACCTGCTCAGAACATGTCCCTGTTATACCAGCAGAAGTACTCACAGCATTATTAAAGTTTTGCTGCACTATGCAGGATAAGTTTAGCTGTTTTTTTCCCCCAGTAAAACTGACCCTCACAGACATGTCTCTGCCAAGTCTGCACATTATCCAGAGTTTGAAACACTCCCTGAAAGACTGAGTCTTTGCTGAATTACATTAATAACTTTGACATTAGAATATTTGTTAAACAAATCATCTTTCTCAATTGTAGCATCAAATTCCTGAAAAACATTCCTCCTTCAAACCTTGTATCTGAAACACTTCCAATGTGAAGTGAATTAAAACATTGTTTTATTGCTAGCAAACACAAAGAACTGTTCAAATGGCAAAGAACACAGAATTCTACCAATCTGACTTTTAAATGAGCCAATAGTAAACTTACAAAGAAAAAACAACCTATTGCTCAAACTCTCTCAGGTAAATGAAAATATGAAAGTAGTCCAGATGATACTTATTTCACAAGCAGTTGACTGAGCAGAAGTGCAGCACAGCTTCACAAAGCCGGTCCTCTGGCTGACTGGATGTGATGCAGCAGCTGATTACAGTAGGCTGGTGTTCGATGCTTATGTACAACCCCTCCAATTTCTTTCACAAGCAGTTCTGGATATAGAACGCTTCCTTCTTTTAAAACTTCTGTAAAACAAAAATATGGTTCAGAAATCATTAGCCACTCTCTGTTTGTTTGTCCAAGTTTCCTCTAAGTAGCTGAAAGCTAACCTGGAAGTTGTTCTTTTACAAGCTGTGCAGTTATGACAACCTGATTCCTCCCTCATTTGCTGAGGTCTGTATTTTGACATTTATGTGCTTAAACACAGCCTGACACACTAATAAATTCTAAAGAATACATCAGGCAAGCTAGGATATGATCACTACCTGCAATGGTTAGTGTTTGTGCTCTGTATCCCATTTACCAAGTCTCCTGACCCACCAGATGCAACAATATTCCTGCTCTGGTGAATGCTCAATAAAACATTACATTTTGCATACAGGTAAATGTCTGAGCTCACACTCACTGAAACCCAAAGCAAAGCTGCCACCCTGTTAGGATTAGCCTCTAGTTGTATGCACTACTTTCATATAACACTTGAAAACATGGTTTAAAAAGCATTGTGAGAAACGCATGACTGAAAATCATACCTAGGACTGCATTTTGGGTATTTTGATCTGGGTCATCGAGATGTATCAGCAGTTCTTGGTACAGAAACTCAATGTGACTTTCCATTGAGGACTTCATGTCACTGTCCTTTAGACACTGAAACCAGTTGGTTAAGGTGTGAGCAGCTGCCAGTCGTACGTCACATGAAGCATCATCCAATCGCTTTAAAACTTCTGAAAAGGAGCATATGCATAACCAGACAGCACTGTCAACAGCAAAGCTACCTTCTACCTTTGAAAGTGCAAACGTTATGGTCATCCCAAAATTATGGCTGTGTTTATGACATTTCTGTCCTTTGAATGTTGGGAATACACACAGTACATTGTTCCTAAAAGCACCCGGTGAACTGTCACTGCATTGTTACGGCCTCAAGAACATTAAAAGAAATGTACAAAATTATTTAGGTTAATTGAATATTCTCTAGCACTCTTTCCAACAAGGTACTACGATTGTCTATTAACGTGTTACAAAAGTACAAAGTTTAGGCATTTCTGTGCTCTATAAAGTACAGTATTTCTATAAAATATTGCTATTTCAGTGAATGGCTGCATTGCAGGCTATTTGAACATGTGAGATGCAAAGATACACTTGGACAACTGTCTGTTCATCTATTTCTCCAAAATAAAAATGTTCGTTGTTAGATTTCTACTGTGCCATGTAAGAAAAAGTATCAGTTATTAAAATGCTGATTTGGGGAAAGTCTGATTCATTTCTATATACCTGAAAACATATATCATGTTCCATAGTACTGACTGTACTTCTCATTCATTATTGAGCATTTAAACATCATCCTAAGAAGCATTACAGCTAATAGCTCTATTGGTCATTACAGCACTCTAGGTTAGGGTTTTCACCTTCCTTTTTATTTTTAAATTAAAAAGTCCAACCCACTACCTATTCAGGCCTATTTATGGTACAATGAAATGGTTTGCTCTTGGCACTCTGACACACAGCGAGGAGAACAATGTGACTTCCATTTATATAATGCATTACTGTTCTGCTCTCACTATAGTTAGAACATTATTTCACACAGTCCAAACTAGGAAGCAATGCAGATGAAATACTGGCAAGCCTTGCCAAGACCGTACTATTGAGTGAGGTTCCATCTAGTGGTGTAAGGTGTAATAACGCTGGGAATACTCAGTTCTGCTCAACCCGGAGCGAGGGAACCTCCCAAGGACATTGACTGGTCTGCAATACACCACCTCAACATGAAACACTACAGTTAAAAAGTTACTACAGAAAGGCCCTGCAAGAAGCAAGTGCTGCTGGAGTAACACTCAACAACTCCTGTTCAAGTGTTTAACAACAAAAACGTGTGTGTACTTTATATACTTGCAGTCTCACCAGCTTAAGACCATGTTTTAGTCTCTGCAGGCTTAAGATGTTAAATTGCCTCTCACACACTAAAATGCTGCTGGTGGTATGCCTCCATGCAGCACTTTACTTCTTCCAGTTACTCTGGGGGAGAACTAACCAGCTAGTTAAAAACACCAGATGAGAGAACACAGAAACAGCATTACAGTGTGTGTATGGGAGTGAAATAAGAATGGCTGAGAAACTGAGCCCACACAAAATCTGCCCGTTTGCACCTCAGACTGTCTGAAGGCTTTTTGCTCATGCCATTAAAGCCAGATGCCACAGTGACATCCAGCATTTTTTGCCATGCCCAGGTATGTATTACTGCTCTCACTGCTCCCAGCTGCAGTGAATCTGCAGGTCAGGCTGACATCCTGCACAGTGAATCCTACAGCTCTGCAGTGACTGCCTGCTGCTCCACCACGATGCTTTTCACCCTTAAAAGCTGATCTAACTACAACACTTCAGGTGAAAAAGCAACTGTAGTTCTTCAACACAGAGATCTGAATTTAAAACAAAAAAACTTTTACACTTACCTGTGTAAGTGTTTTTAAATTTATCTTCATCAAACTGCCTCCCACAGACTTTTAAAACAACACCAATGATACGACAAGCCATCAGTCGAGCAATTTTAGAGTCTTCATCCAAGGCAGCAATAATTTGGGGCATTAGCCCATCTTTGACTTTTAAGACCTAAAATTAAAAGGAAAAACACAGAAGAACAGCTGCTTTTCAGTCACTCTAAAACAACATGCTTACTGGTTACATCAGCTACCATTAGATCTGATCCATACTAGCTTGCTTAATTTAAAAAGAAAAAGTTAGCTACTAAAGTTAACCTGAAAATCTTGGAAGTTGCACAGATCTATTTTTGCCTCTAAATAAGCCTGGGAAATGCAAATCTGCCAGCTGATCATCCAGTTCATGAATGCCCACCATATAGGCTGATAAGCTTTATGTAACTTGTAAAAGCTTTAAGCTTAATTGCCTTTTTATTTTTAAAAACCTGTCGGCAAAACTTTAAATAATTTGGAGACCAAGATTATGTGTAGGTACCAGTAGATGGTGCTCTTATTCTAAAAGGAAGCTTTTAAGTAAAGACTGCTGGAATACAATTTTTTTAAGTGAGTTTGGTAACTTGACTTTAACATGTACATTAATACAAAAAAGGCATTAAGGCAGTGATTAAAAAAAAAGTTTAACTAGAACAGTAGTCTCTAATATAAGTGTTTCTGTATATGTGAACTAAACCAGTTACATGTGTTTAAGTGCTTTGTTCAGTTAAGGTCTGTTATAAAGACAAAAAAAAGATGAACATGTAATAACATTTTAATTCCATTTATTTAAATAAAGTGCCCTTATATTTAATGTATTTCCAGTGCATCATTTCAAAATGCTATTTTTGTTTAGCAAACAAGCTTCACAAACCCCCTCAGACTCAACTACTCCTTAATCACTGTGGTGAGTAATGTTTAAGTGTACTCCTTGTTAGCTCTCTACTTCAGTTGCTACAGACACTCTTCAAGTTCTATCTCAAGTCCTCCTTCCCTTTCCAGGAATCTTTTAGATTCTGCCCTCCCCTAATGGACCTGTGGTCTCCAAGGCAACCAGACAATTTGTCTTTGCCACATTACCCCAAAGCATGTCCTGGCCAGCTCCAGTGCTGCTGTGCAGACCCTGGCTAAGGGGCCATAATGTCAAGTACCCAAGTTGTTGTGCTAATAGTGATTAATATTTTGTGCTACACAACTGACCTTATGCTAGAACAAAGATCTACAGAATCTGATGATGGTGGGCTCTACAGCTCACATACTGCTAGCCTCAGGTCTCTTATGAAGGTATCACTGTCCCTCCACTACTGATCAGTTCAGTTAGCACTCGATTACAACTAATCAATTTGATAAAGAAAACAATATGTCCAACTGAAAATATTATTTACCATGAGGATTTATTGTTTTTAGCTCTTTGCATTTATTTTGTGTTCCTGCCTAAGATTTCAAAGTACATTTGATGAGAGAGAGAGAGTATTTACCTCTTCTGGTGAAAGCATTTCACAGTGAATAAGAGCCCAAAGGCACGATACAGCTGTAGTGCGGATGGCAGCTGCTGTTCTTCCAGCATGCCACAGCAGATTAGGAGCCAGGATGTCTTTTATCACAGTCTCAAGGTAGCTAGGGAACAGCCTGAAGCCAAAAACAAGAAAGCAAAATAAAGGTTCAGGAGAAAGTGATAAAGAGACTGACTAGGTAAAAAAGAATTTTCTGTCACAGAAACAGGCAGAAAAGGGGAAAAAGAAAAGGCTCTGTTAAAAAAAATAAATAAAATCTTATAAGCCAATATGATTATAATGTATATGATAAGCTTTTCATAACTTAATTTTTCTAGATAACATTTAAACAAATACCTAACATGCATAGAAAGGGGAGGCTAGACTTTCTCCCACTTCAGACAATGCACGTGACTCACTGTGTTATCTTGGTAAACTACTTACCCTCTCTGCCTCATTTTCTCCATCTGTGAGTGGAGATAACACCCCATATGAATACTGTGAGGATTCATTAATATTTGTAAGGCCCTTTGAGACTTTCCAGCATAAAGTATTTATCACGTGAAAAGTATGAAAGCTATGGATGAGACCTGAGCTCCTGATACTGCAGGGAGTCTGCATCGAATGCTTCAGCTTTCCCTTGCCTCAGAACCTCACCTCCCTCAAGGAGGAGAGGTCTGTAGGATTCGGATGGTGCCAGGCCCAGTACTAGCTTGTTTTCATTATGAAGACACAAATCTGTGCTGTTTCTGCTGGGGCTTTTTCTCCTCCTCTGTTGGATGGGCTAATATAATGTTAAATGTAGCTGTGAGAGTCAGCGATTGCAATAGGCAGCATTCCCCCACATCCATTTCATTCCAGCTCAGGCAAATTAAGATAAAAAGATATAGATCTTACACACAAATGAAAAAAAGATGTGTGCCTAGCTGTGACTAGGTAACTAAGGCTCAGGTTATTCCCTGCACCTCTGTGTCTAAGAAAGCAGCTGGCAGTGTGTAAAACAGATGGTCAAACCCCAAGATAAATCTACCTGGACTTGTGTCCCACCCCGTTCAAATTCCCCCCCAGACCTGGACTGTGGCCACCTGAGTGCAAAACAGTACATCACCACCCTGGTGTTGCTGACTTTCCTAAGAGCCCTGCATTTCCAGGATGAACAGCTGGCTCCTACAGAGATGTGCCAAGCCACAGGAGGAACAGAATGGGTAGATGTTAACAATGAACTGTTGTCACTATGTATTTTTGAAAAACATCCCCACAGTAGCAAAACAAAATCCTCCAGCAATAATCTGTCAATGAAAAATTCCATAATATTGCATGAATGTAATAAGAAATGTAATTGTATCTACTTTCTTCCTGTAAATACCCTTGACTTACTGCAGTTAGAGCATGTCAGCCAGGTATGACCTGACTGAAGCTTGTCCAGCCAGCCTGCCAGGCCTCAGCTGCACACACACAAATCTGAAAATCTCTGTCTTCAACATGAAAAAAGAGATC